GTTCTTGAGTTATAATGTTTCATAGGTCACAGCACAAGTTTTACACCTTTGATCCACCATAAAACTGTGCATTATTGACAGTGTCTACACTGAGAGAAAAAAAAGTAGTTGCGGCAACTATAATGTACAATTCTAAAATTTAAATACTTGCGACTAGTTTTAAAAAGTAATAAGAACTAAAAAAAGTAGTACCGAATACTATAAAAATATAATACAGTGCTATAAAAATATAATATTCAGTACTACTTTAGTTCTTATTATTTTGTAAAACTAGTTGCAAGAGTACTTACATTATTAGAGTTGTTAATTTAGTAATTGTGAAAACGATATTTTTCTCTGAGTGTAGGACACCTTTCGTTCACACCACGTTGCACGTGAAAACCAACTCACCGGAACTCGGTCTTTCATGTAATTAGTGCAACGTCCTTTTAAGACAAACGCGGATCTTTTGCGACCGAAAGACAGCGAGTACGCTCGAGACACCCCGTATATGTATGTAGGCCGCACACAACGCACGCCACACTTAGTCTCTCTCTCTCCCTCTTTCTCCCTCTTTCTCACCCCTGCAGGACTCTCCGTCTCTCTTCCTTCTATCTCCGTACACTCGTTCTCCATCACATACTAGAAACGGGGTGTTCAGTGGGAACCGGCTTTCTGTTGTACAATGTATACACGCCGTAGTTCGCAACTGTTACATACGTGTCTCGCGTGCAGGGTGGTACGAACGAGGGAGAGCAAGAGAGAGAGAGAGAGAGAGAGAGAGAGAAAAAGAGAGAAGACACCCCGTGAGAAAAAAAATTCGGAGGCGGATAGTGTCGCGCGGTGGAAATCTTAGAGAAGTGTCCGCCATTTTCGCTCCATTTCCTACTGATATTCTTTTCTCTTTGCAGAAATCGAGGCTTAATTACTGCGGCGCGTGATAAGATAAAAAGCCGTTTTAGAATTGTTCAAGAATTAAGATCTCCGAGGTCGGCAGGTTGTTCGGGTGAAAAGATCGGTGGAAGATATCGATAATGGATAAGGCAGTAAATTGTTCAGGTCAACACTCCTCTGGAAACGAAACGCTCTACATCGATTTACGTTGTTTTGACACACATACCTTCGTAATAGATTAAAATCAACGGCTATGATTAGCGCTAAATATGGGAACCTGGATCGAAAGCGGCAGAAATAACTGTCACCTGTAATATTAACGCGCAATATTGAGAGCGGACCCGCATAATTCACATCGACGATGTTTAATTAGACAAACATAAAGTATTACTCGAGACGCTTCAAGAGGTTCCATATACGACGAAGAGACGCCATTAAAATTCCCGCGAATGATTCTTACAAAGGGTTGCAGACAGCAGCATCTCGCGTCTAAAATAAGAAATCGGCACAATGAATATGTTTCTCGAATATCGATCGTGTCAAAACGGATACTAAGTTTGCGAGTAAACGAGCGCGACGAGAACGAAAAAATAACCAAAGTCTCTCATTCATTTTCCCGCATATTTTCGCGGTTCTAGAATCCTAAAAACCAGACATGCGACAATTAAGTTATTTCGTCGCCGCCATGTTAGTTTCTTATGGATAACCAATAGAGTACTGATTAGTTGCCTAAATCACGTCATCACAGCGCCATGTTGATTTCTTACAATTATAGCTGCGATTTTCATTTTCACACAATACTCAGACTAAAGTTACGTGAGCATTTTATACTCAGATAATGACATCGCTACTTGCTTATATTGGTGACAAAGTTATCGCGTAAGAATATAAGTTTATAACCTCACTTTTAATGTGAGTTAACAAAACTCAATAAGACACACGGTCTCAAAGCTTGTGCAGATTGTCAGTAAAAACTCAGTTGAATCTCACTTGTGAATCTCAGGGTGAAAGGGAATATGTATTCAACTGAGTTATGACATCACAAACGAAAATTATCTGAGCTTTGATGTAAATAGAAAGCAACTAATAGATAATTAGATCATATTCTTTAACAGCCAATCAGGTGCTTGTGCAGATTGTCAGTAAAAACTCAGTTGAATCTCACTTGTGAATCTCAGGGTGAAAGGGACCCTATGTATTCAACTGAGTTATGACATCACAAACGAAAATTATCTGCTTTGATGTAAATAGAAAGCAACTAATATAGCTAATTAGACCATATTCTTTAACAGCCAATCAGATCACATCTCAGACTTTCTAGGCATCTAGGTGGTTCTCGTTAATTCCGTACTTCTCTCTCCGCATTTCCTCGCGAAAGACTCCCTTTGCAGGACAATTCGCAATGGAATTTTCACGCAAAAAAGAATGAAACAGGAAACAAGACTCGATAATGATAACGTCTCGTTTGATTATCGTTCCTCGTTTCGAGTCTGTGTGGCTCCTCTTCTTGTGTTCTCCTCGTCCCCCGCCTACACAAACTTGCAAACAGTCTTCCTTCCTCGTCGTCGTCATCGTCGTCCGAAGATGATCGTCGACAGGACACCAGCACAGAAGATGCCAGCTGGGAGTCTCGAAAGTAGGGAGAAGGAGAGGGCTGCGAGAACACAGCATCTCTCGATTCAATCTCCGTCCGAGAACGGCACTCCCGCTCGTGCGCGAAAATGTAAATGTCTCTCGATCTAACCAAACGGATAGACAAACGCACCACGAAGGACTCCGCAAGTCCTTTATCGTCGTTTCCTCGTCGCCGATCGAGGATGCGCTCGTGAAAGAAAAACCGCGCGCCTTGCAGGACGCGAGGATCGTTCCCCGTTCGCAGCGTTTCAATCCTGAATCGCAAAACGAGTCGGTCATTGCAAAAAGGATGTGTGTCAATTTTCTCCTCACAAACTAGTGAAATAATAATTTGTTAAGGAAACAAGAATTTTGAGAAAAATAGGAGGTAATAGTTATATTTCTTTTGTCTGGACTGAAACAATTTCAAAACGCGTGTTAAATTGAAGGGTTTTTCACAAAAATAAAAAATAAAGTCCAAAAAGTTGTATTGTTATGGAACAAAAAAGTTCCAATTAAACCGTTCAGTGTATAAATATGGTAATTTTTCTTCGGAAATAAATACAGTTTTAGGTTTTAATTAACATTTTGAGAACCTCGTAAAAAAATAATTAAAAACCCATTAATATTGATAAAGATGAAGAAGGATTAACTTAATTAAAAGTTTTTCAAGTATAAAGCAATGATGTTTTCACTTCTTATTTACAAAATTTTACAAATACTCTTAACAAAAATGTCCATGGCAATTGTTAAACTTTTAAATTTCCCGTTTTCTATTTAATTGTTCCTGACGAGACAGATAGAGTGGCGCCATAACCTAGATTTTTAAAAAATAGATTTATTTGATTTTTGTTATAGTCTCTGAAAAACCAGAGATGCGACGTCGGTTAAGTCACTTCACCGCCATGTTAGTTCCTTATTACAATAGCCAATCAGACCAGACTCTTTAACAGACTCTTCCATGTTGCATTTCTGATTTTCCGGGGTTCTAGTTTTTGTGAGAAACCCTTTAATAATATTTTGTCGTCAAGGACGTCCGAACTTGTCCGATAAATCCTGCCAAATGACGTGTCTGTTGTAACTAAAAATTGCAAGAATCTTTTCATCTTTTTGGCACGCTCCTCCATTCTGTAATGGACGCTCTTTTTGCAAAAAGTCGCGCGAGCGCACGCGGGGAACTCCCCTCGCACCCTGTATATTTCGCTGCGATTGAACGCTGGATTTAGTTGGTTTTCCCCCTGTTTTTTCGTTTTCTGTTTTACCAGGGACAACAACCTACGACCTCGTATCACGTCCCCGTCCCATGTCCCGCTATTCCCCAACAAAATATATTTTTTTGAGACACTTAAACGCTTGGAATTTGTAGAAATCGACGTGGCAGTATCTTTGACGCAATCGAATTTTTCACAATTTTTCACTATATCGTCTGTTTTTCCATCCAGCACGAATTTAAAAGAGCGTTTTTTAATAGAAATATGAGACAACCGCTGTGTTTTTCAAGCGATAACGATAGTAACGGAGTTGCGCAAATTTTTTGTTTTGTTTTTGACAGAGGGGAAAGAATTAAAATCATGGTGTCTCAAATTTCTGCGCTACCTGATATATTCCTGACAATCCTAACTTAGCCTTCGACGTGTCAACGTGGGATGATTGATCGGGTCGGCAAAGATACCGCTACCGTTACTTACATTTTAGTTACTTTAGTTTTACCATAAGTTACGTGAGCCTTAAGTCAGTGTGCGACGCCCCGTTTTATGTTGTATGATTTCTTTCTTGAAGTGTGCTTTTCCGTTTTTGTGATCTTGTCGTTTCTGTTCCGTTGAGCAAAAGAAGAGAGGCAGAAGCTAGCGCACAATGTGGGTTCAATCTTAACGAAATAGAGCGCTCGGAAACGATATCGTCACCATCATGAATTTTTTTTTTCAATTCAATCATTTACCGTCGTGCTCTCCGTTTACGCTGCCTCCGCACCGTTCCTTTCCTGGCTCGCACAAATAACAACGTATACCCGCCGTTCGTCTACTGTTCGCGCGTTCGAAGATGACCGGGTTCGAGAATTCTTCGGATTCTTTGGATTTTTGGATAACTAGATTTTCGGTTACTTTAGATTCTCAGATTCCCTCGGGTCCTCCAAATCCTCGGATTTGCGAATCATCGGATTTTAGGTTTCTCGGATCTTCGTATTCTCGAGTATTTGGATTCACGAGGCATTAAATTCTCCAAGTTACCGGGATTCGGAATTTTTAGATTCACTTTGAGATGCTTTGTTTCAATTGAATCGAATCTTGTTTTATTTACATCGACGGGGTGCCCTTTCGCGTCTCTCCCGAGCTTTTAAAGGTCCACAGAGGAACTTGTGACCCTTTGACAATTTAATACGTAAACGATCGCCCGGCTTAATCCGAGGGTTGCGAGCGTGCGAGCGAGGGAAGGAACGGGCGGGCACGGAATCAGGAGGGACAAACAGAGAAAGAAATTATAAACGGGCTAATGGTTCGACGATACCAAATAAGACTGATGAGAAGTGTAAACGCAAGGTGTGTGTCTATCGGTTTGGTTTTAGCCCTGAGCAACTGCTCTGAGAGCGGAGGCGAGCCGGACGCCATGCTGGACATGCACCACCCAGGAACCGGGATCGACTCGCACCATCCGCAGTTTCACAACTCCTATGGTAATATGAAATTCATTATAATAGTAATTAATCCTACCCTCGGACTTCACCGACCCTCTCCACGCGGACCCGAGATATATTATACATCCGCGATTCTCGCTCTACTCGCGTTCGGCGCTTCTCAAGTCCTCGCGCGTTTCTCGCACGCTGAGAGGAAAGTGTTTGGAATTTGTGACTGTTGTTCCACGGTAAAATAATTATGGCTAGAAGCTCTGTTTTATAGTTGTTAATGTAATGATTATTTCAGTTATTACTGTAACATGATGATAATTATTGTCTACCCAGGGAAATTGATCTGTGGAAAAATTCGTTCCCAAAGCTTCTTGAAGTTTGTATCTAAGCTAAGGATGCTAACATTTTGAATGTTAATTATTATTTTTGATATTAAATAAAATATAATTAACATTCTAGCATCTGTTTTCTGTAAATACTATATTTTACTTTGATTTTATAAACATAAAATTTTACGATCAAACTTTTTGTCACTCTGTAGAAAAGAATATAATAGTTGGTACCGAAAAAAAAGTACTTTAACTATAAGGATGGAGCGCATAAGTACAATTATTTTACCATGCAAGTATTATAGTCGCAAGTACAAACACTTTTTTCTCAGCGCGACTTCTTTTCACTCGTCCCTCTTTTCTTTTCGGCACCGTGTGCTCGACGGTAAACTTCCATCGACGACAATAAGGCAAACAAGTTTCACTTCCGGACCACCGCGAATCTCAACGATGAAGAGACCCGAGAAATGCAAAACTCACATCTGTCCACGTTGTGAAGAATTATTTTTCCCCCTTCTTCTTTATATTATTATTAATTAAAAAGAAATTATTTCACATTTTTTTATTTCTCACTATTATCCGTTATTTAAAAGCTCACATTTCCATTCGTGAACAAACGTTCGGGCAAATTAATTCGACTTTGCACTCTCAAGATTTCTTGACATTTTTTCGAGTTCGCGAGGTAAAAAATACGGAATAATACAAAGCTCCTTCTCTGATCCTTTAAATAATTCTCAGATACAAATTGGGTCACGAATTTCCGTCATTGGACCGAGCGAAATTAATAATGACGGCAGCTGTTCGGCATAAGACTTTAAAGAGCTCTCTCGCTCGGCGTATCGAGATTGATAGATTCCATCAATTTGGATGTCGATTTGTGGTTTTTCGAGCATCGCCTTAATAGCGTTACCGTTAAACGTGTTTTGCGGGAATACGTTATTATGTACAAGAACATCGGGGAGGCGAGAATATTTCGACCATTTCTCACGACGTCACTCAAATCATACAATAATATCGGTGAGAATTTTAGCGCGCTGCTTAAGTTTATTAGTATCTCCACCTCGCGCGAACTTTCGCACGGAGATCGTATCCACAGCATTGAATTTCCTCGCACGTGAAATATATAGAGCGTATTTCGCGCAATCAAATTAATTATCTGTATCCGACTTACATACCACCGAATAAAATCGCGAGTCCACGATAACACGACGTCCATCATTCCTCGTTAATTTATCACTTTTATCCTCTCCGAATTTTCCTGCAACGAGCGTTCCGCGCGGAAGTCGTCACGGAGAAGTACCATACACCGAGATTACAGTTTTCGGTATTTGTGATTGTAATTGCATGACAAATAATTACGGTTAAGAGTTTTATTTTTATATTTCTTACTGCTCTAACATTCCCTGATTAAAATGCTCGCAGTTTTCCTGACATTTATCCAGTTGCTGTCCAGTATTTTCATTAGTTATAAAAGTATTGCACAGGAAATGGACAAGAACTTGAGTTTTCCTGGTAAAAATATGTACAATTTGCGTAAACACTTGCCTAGTTATTGTCTAGTATGAATGGGTTGTTATTATTATTAGTTAAAATACTGCGTAGTCTATTTATTGCCTTGTTTTTGTTCGGGAAATGGGTTAAGACTTTGCGCATCTTTTGTGAGCAGTAATTGCAGGCAAAACGTTACGTCTTGATTGGGATCCTAAGTAGTTTTACTTAATTGTTAAACGAATATAACTATCCAGTAATTGCTCAAGAAATGCATGAAATTTTCTACCAGGGATTAGTAATAATATAATTATACTTATAGTTTTATATACGAAAAAGAATATACGATTGTTCGCGAAAACGACAATAAAACCATAATAGTTTTCAGGGACCATAAAACTATAGTCGTTTTCGGGGAAAACAACTATAAAACTACAGTCGTTTTTATTACCAACATTATAGCAGTAATAACTATAAAAATGAAGCTTTTTTTCTAATAATTATTTTGTAATGCATTACAATCATAAATACAAATGACTTTTTTTCAGTATATTCGAGTCATTAGTAAGTCATGGATTTTAACTTGTTTTTTTAATTCGACGATCGTGCGACACGGGAAAGAACAGACATTCGTCCGGATTCGATCGGCACCCCGAAACAGATGTCTCGATGGAGCCGATGATTAAATGAAGAACGGCTCCTTATCCAGCGCAATCGAATTAATTAATCGGCCCTCGCTTTTACATCGATCTAATCCGTTCCGGTGGATTGTTGAATAATGCGCGATCCTAATCGAAGTCGACGCGCGCTATTTCGATCCCTCGGCGGCGAACAGACGTGAATTTTGAATAAATTTCAGAAGAAGGCGCATCTCGATTACACGGCACTTCGAACCGAATCGGCTCTCCAGATTAATCGACGCGACTTCCGATGGATTTTTAAACCGATCCCACCGCGATTGAATTTATAGACGTATCCATGGAGCCGGTTCGATATGCATTTCGTGTCCGCGACGTTCCACTTCGACTAATATTTTTATTCATTCGGCTAATCAGAAAGACGTAGAGAGCAATCCGTTCGCTTCCGGAAGTGCACTGCGTCGCGAATATAAAAATGACAGGTGGAAAGAAAATCTGTATGAGTCAACAGTCAACGCATACAATTGGAAAATTTATCTTAAATTCAAAACATTTCATTTTGTGTTACATTTTTGTGATCCACTCAAATTTTTATGTCGATTTAACACGAGATAAATATATTAAGGAACAGGGTTGTCACAAAATTGGAAGTCAAAGAAATCGGGACAATGTCAGGAAAATCAGAGAAAAGTCAGGGAATTTTGCAAAATTTTCTGAAAAATAAAAATTCTTGGTTTTAAAATGGTTTAATATTTGTACATCACGTCTATACAATTTTAGAATACTACCAACTTAACAACTAAATACAAGTATCAGCAATATTAATACTAATTTACATTGTTACGTTTACATTGTTAAGTTGCGGTCTCAACAAAATATTTGACGGTTTCTAAATCAGGAAAAAATGCAAACAATATCAAAATATTATTGCAGAGAAAATCATGAAATTTTGTATGGCAATCAGGAAAGTTATAAAATTTCAGGATGAGGAATTTGTGACAATCCTGTAGGAAGTAACGCAAATGGTGAATTTGGTTACTCGCAATATGCTGGATTAAATACACATTAAAGGCTGCTTTATATATAAAGTATTTAAATGCAGTAATAATGTAATCATGTAATAATTTGACAATAAAATAATTATACGTGTATATTTTATTAGATAACGTAATAATATCATTATTAAGTATTTAATCCTTTAAAGTAAAGTAAATTTATATGCTTTTGCATTTAACCTTGCTGATTTCATGTATAGCAGCTTTTAATATGTAATTTAGTGCAATGCACCGAATTTGCTAAAATATTATTGAAAAGATTTACGCAAAAAATGTAACATTGACGCGATTGTAAGCAAACCGTGGAAATATATTTTTTCAATAAAATTAACATTTATGATATGTTAAAAATTGATACGTGTTTCATTCGTTTCTTAGAATTTACGTTTTAAAATACATTATTTTCATGTTATTTGTTCACTTAATCATAAACTGTATTATTTCAACATTAATTGTAAAAAATGTTGAACATTAATTATACAAAATAACATAATCACATATTACATTAAATTATTATAATACTCGAATTCGTTAAAAATTCAACACAAAATATTAACAAGGACTTGAGTGGACCGGTTTTATGACAAATACAAATGTTTTTTTTACTTGAAATTATCGTCGAATTTACCCAATTAATAATTCACGCATTATCTGCGTTGGCTTACACAGGCTTTCTCTCTAGCTTTTACGATTATCGGAGCTCTGTTTGTTATTAGATAAAAATAATCTTTCGTCAGGGAAATTACACGTTCGCAGCCTGTAATCAACAATAATACGCTGTGAATCGTCCATCGCAATAAAAATAACAACTGGGAAAATTCCGCCTTTTGACTTCTTATATACTTGAGCCAAGTTGTGCGCTTACGATTTCAGTAAAGGACAGAATCGACTGCGAGATTCTCAAGGATTCCCAAGTTCGCAAGCACGAAAAGCTCGCGGCCGAAAGCCGTCGCAGCTTTATCTCGCAAGGCGCAATGCGAATCAGTTTATATCTGGGGCGGCGCTATATATTATATTATTCAGCCGGGAAGGGTCGCGCGCGCCCAAGTTGAGCTCTCGCGAGAGCGACTAAGCTCTCGCCGAAGGGCAAATTAAACGCGGCGAGTCGAACTCGCGATCGGTAAACTTTCGAGAAGCGACAAATCCGCCGCAGCGCTCCGGACTTCGGGCCGATTGAACGCGAGATTCTGCGCCGGGAAACTCGAAAATTAAAAAAAAAAGGGGGGGGAAACGAAAAGAAAATGACGGGGAGAGAGAGAGAGAGGGGAAGGAGAGAAAGGTGGAAAGGATCGATGCGTCGTCATCCTTGCGAGTCGCGAACGCGAAATAACGTCGCGGGAGTATCAATCGACGGAGGTAATCTCGCTACTTCGGCGGCTCATTGAAATCCCACGCTAAATTTCAATCTGACGTGTACAAAAGTCGGGCCCTTCCCCTCCCCCGTCGCCGACCGCCCTGCTCCCCCTCCTTCCCCCTTCGACCCTCTTCACCCATCCCGATTCAACGCTTCGAGACTCCGTTATATCGTGGAGACGTAT